CCAGGTGAGGTTAAGTCAGCACTTGGATTTATCAGGGCACTTGAAATTGCTCTCTCAATGTCTGGCTTTCTCTTTAAACCTTGAGCTCCAAGAAGGCAGGGCCTGTGTCTATCTTGCTCACAGCAGTAATTAGTGAGCATTCAATAAGTATATGTTAAATGAATGGATGAATATTTGTTGAGCTGACATTTGCAGATGAAATTTATCAATTAAATGAAAATGTTTACTGAATGCCAAGCTCTGGGATAGAGGCCCTTGTTAATACTTAGATGAGGTGGGGTATGCAGATAAGATACTGTCAAAACGACAACCTTAATTGGGCTTCAAAAACACCAGTCAAACCAGTTGCCTTCAAGAAAACTGACTCATGGTTACTCCACATGTATCAGAGTACAATTGTGCTCCATGGGGTTTTCAATGGCTGATTTTTCAGAAGTAGGTTGCCAGCCCTTTTTCCAAGGAGGCTTTGGGTAGACTCCAACATCCAACCTCCAACCTTTTGGGATAGCAGCTGAGCAAATTACCTTTTTGCCCTATCCAGGGTTGGGACTTCAATGAGGGATAGCATTTGATAGGGTGAAATGGGAATGGGAACTTCAGAAAGGAGCTCTGGGTAGTGTAGTGACTAAGGCACTTGACTGCTAACCGGAAGGCTAGCTGTTCAAACCCACCAGTCACTCCTCGGAAGGATGGTTGGGCAATCTACTTCCATAGTGATACTGCCTCAGAAACCTGACTCGACGGCAGTGAGTTAGGGATCAATAGTCCATAGCCTGCTCCCCCTCACATCCCTCTTCACCATCCTATCACTGAAAGCATCACCATTATTTATGAAGAGGCTGTTTTGTGTCTTTTTTGTTGTCCACTTCAGGAACCTATAGAGAAGAGGGAGCCTGCTAACATTGAACCTGTATTTGCAAAATTGACTCAGGCATTAGTTAAGATGTCATGAGCGTGCCACTTTGGGGATTCCAGTCTGTCTGGGTGGGAAGAGTGCCCCACAAAGCCATCAGAAAAGAGATTTACTCTTTTATCAGCAAAGACCAAGGAATTTTCTAACATCTTTAAGGATATAGTTGTGTTTTTGTTGTGGTGGTAGTTGTTTTTTCACGCCGAGCCTGGCTGTCTCCATTCTTTACGACTCTGGGCATGATTTAACACATACACTTAAAAAATGAAAGAACAACTTCTTAAATTTGCAGTAAATGTATTGTTCAATAGATTTGATTTACTAGTTATGAGCCACAGAAGAGCGGCCATGGCGATTTATCGAGATGTTGTCTCAGGCACTGGAGTCCACTGCCTCTATCTACTCTGATCCTCATAAAAATAATCCAATGAAGGGAAGACCACAGTACATCTTGGGGCCAGTTTGGACTGTAATCGCTACACCCTATTCTGTCTATCAGACCTCCCTTCCAGATGGTAATATGATGGTTGCGGGAAGGGGCAGAGCATGTCTCATGGATTTAGTGGCATTTGTTTTGGTCATTGGTTGGGGTGAAGGAGCAGAGGTTTCTCGGCATCAAAGCTTGTGACAGTTTTACAGGGCCCCACTGGCCTCCCTAGTGACTGCAGGGAAATTAAGTGGATGGAAAACCTATGTGTTGCAGGAGATAGCAGGGGGAAGGAAGAAAAAAAGGGTCTAAGACTCATAATTTAGAAGGATTCAGAAAGGTCAGTCTCTTGAGAAAAAATCTCCACAACACAGTCTCCACTTTTGATTCTTGAAGCAACTGGGAACTTCTGCTCCATAGGGATGGCTCTGAGACGGGGTACATTCTATAGCAGGGTAAGGACAGATGCTAAGGGAGAGAGACAGAGGAGGGAGGGAAGACTGTCCTAGGTTGAGGGGCAGGTAAGGCCTGCAAGTGTTTCTAAACTGAACCCTACATGTAGACGTTAGCCAGAGGTGAGGAAGAAGAAAAAAACAAAGCCAAATCCCAAAGCCAAACCTGTTGCTGTGGAATCAGTTCTGACTCATGGAAACCCCCAGTGTTACAGTAGAACTGCTGTAATCTTAATGGAAGCAGATTGACAGGCCTTTCTTCCACAGTACCACTGGGTGGGTTTGAACCATCAACCTTTAGGTTAGCACTGTTGTTGTTAGGTGCTGTTGAGTTGATTCCAACTCATAGTGACCCATGTGACAGAGTAGAGCTACCACATAGGGTTTTCTAGGCTGTGGTCTTTCTGAGAGCAGATTGCCAGGTATTTCTTCCTTGGAGCCATTGAGGAGGTTTGAAATGCCAACCATTTGGTTAGCAGCTGAGCATTTAACTGTTGCTCTACCAAGGTTCCTTGTGTTTTCCTCTGGGTCCTTGAAATTCTTTCTATTCAGCCACTGGATGAGGAAACAAAGAGAGAGTGCAGGATTGCCCTGAATGCATTTTATGGGAAATGTCAGTGGCACAAATCACTTTTTGCCTATGTTACCTTGGTCAGAAGTTAGTTACATGGCCAATGCTAACTACAAAGGAGCCTAGGAAATGTAATCTAGGTGTGTCCAGAGAAAAGAGGAAATGGGTTTGGTTAGCATCTAATCAGTCTCTGCTACAGTCATTTACTAGTTGTGTGACCATAGGTCTTCATTTTTTCATGTGTAAAATGGAAATTAAATAAGAATTAGTAAAGACCAAATAAAACAATTCATGTGAAAAGTGCTGAGTCCAATGGGGATTGATGACTACCATTCTTGCTTCTCAGCCTGGGACCCATCACAGTTATTGGTCAACAGTCATGGCAGACACAAAAAAATCTCACACAGGTTACATATGGAGGCACCCCTGATAGGCATTTGATGCATACCCTTTTCTCCCCAAGGAAGAGGACAGACTTTGGATAGAATTCAGTGAGCCCTTGAGCTCACTGAATACCAGGGACCACACTTGGTATACAGATGCAAGTACTGTTAAACATTCTTAGCATCACAGGGATGATAGAGAAAGATCTTCTCCCCTGTTGAGGTGTAGTAAATTGCTTAGTGTGGCTTTTCTACCCATAAGTCTTTGTAAACTCCAAGATGGGATTTGCTATGAGCAAGTGAGGAGCTCCTGATTGCTAAAGTTGTCCACCTGGGTATTTCTGTTGGGAGTGGCACAAAACAATGTTCTGGGAGGTGCCCACTCTCTCTCAGGTGCTTAGAGTTCTGATGCTATGATCGGCTAGTTTGGCCACTCTGCCGGGCTCAAAAGGAGGTCTCCTAGAGGCAGAACTCTCTGGCTGCTGCTTGAGGAAGACGTGCTGCCAAAAGAGACATGCGCCCCTGAAAGAGACACGTGCTGCTGGGAAAGAGATGCAAGAGACATGCATTGCTGAGTGAGACACCGAGGGACCAGCACTGCTGGGAAAGAGACTGTGAGAGACTGTTGGCTGAGGGACAGTGGGCTGGGAGAGAGACTGAGCGTTCTTCCTGAACTTGAGTTGTAGCCTGGTGCTTCCCTAATAAACCTCATAATCTGTGAGCTCTGTGTGGCCACTGCAGCAAATTATCGAACCTAGGAGAGAGGTGGGGGTACTTTGGGAGGAACGGTTGGTGAAAGGGCTGGAGGGAGGCAGCATGTCTGGCCTTGCAGTAATAGGCCTTGCGCTATTGATGGTGATTCTGCCTTCCTCTTGTGGGATTAGAGAAGGTCAGAACATGTGGCCTCCTTGTCGTTTTTGCACCTGTCAAGATAGATTTTGTTGTCCATAAAGAAGATACAAGTATTGAAATATTTACAGATGAAATGATACGATGTTGGTGATTTGCTTCAGAATTATCTGGGGTAGGGGGAGTAGAGGAATAGATGAAACATGATTGGTCATGAGTTTATAATAATCAAAGCTAAATGATGATGCAAATTACACAATTCTCTCTTCTTTTATGTACATCTGAAATTTTCCATAATAGAGTTTTTGTTTTGTTTTGTTTTGTTTTTTGTAAGGGCCACAAGGACCCTTTGAATGAACTTTTTGCAAGTAAGTCCAGAATCCTCTCACAACCTTGCAGTATGGGGACTGTCTTTATTTGTTGACTCATCAAAGCAATTAATGATTTTGCAGATAGATCTCCCACAAACCCCATGAGGCAAAAACATCCAACCTCAGCCTTGAGCTCTGAAAAAGAAATGTACTTGAGTATGAGTATCATAAATGCACAGAGATGGAAGGGGCCTCGGACCTCACAAGCTGAGTTATAAAACATCGCAAATTCCCACATCAAAACAATATTGTAAAGGCCGGAGACTTGGTCAATTTCATGAGTGGACAGTGATTCTGTGGAGTCAGGACCTCCTGTTCTTCCTAGACCCCCATTACTCTGATAGATGAAATCCCACCCTCACTACTTCATTGCCTTGGCTTGAGGTTCTGTCCTGTCATAATGTGGATATTGTATCTCTGGATAGGGTAGTCACTTACACATTAATTTAAATTATTTTATCAGATATTGTTGATGAGAAAAGTTCTCATGAAGTTCAAGGGGTGCCTTTTAGGGAGAGAGGCTACTGAAAAAATAATATCTACAGAAAACTTCTCTGATTTCACATGTTTTTTGCATTCTCAGTATGAACAATAATCATGTGGAAAGAACTTGGGTTACCTGTCCAAGCCTCTTCACAAACAAGCATGGTAGAGAGCTATGTCCAAGATTTCAAAGAGCTAGTTTTGGCCATGTGTAGACTTAGTTGCAATATTATGATGACAACCAACATTTTAACTTATTTTTTTAAGAAACTTATTGTATGCAATACTTGATTCAATCTTCAAAAAGCCTGTGAATTGATACCAACATTATATCCATTTTACAGGCAAGAGAACTGAGGATCAGATAAATAAAGCAGCTTGCCCAAGGTCACAGAGCTGGTAAGCAAGAGAGAGACAAGATTTGAAGCCCAATCTAGCCAAAGCTCTCCACATGTTCTTACCACTAAACCTCACAGTCACAGATTTCCTGATACAATTTCCATATATTTTTATGCTTAAAATCCAGCAAGCTTTGGTCTCAGCATCTTGTTGAGCTAAGCCAGGGTTTGACTAAAGGGTTTTTCACAGGCCCCCGTGCTGGTTTTATGGCGAGCACAGTCACAGCTACGGGTAACCAAAGACAGTTCCAACTGACCGAATCCTAGCTGTTCCCAAAGAGGTGATATCTGGAGGATGTGGTTGACATTCTGCCAGAAAGGAAGAAAAAAAAAAGTTCCCTGCAAACCAATCTGGTTTAAGAGAAGAACACTGGCCAGGTCTCTGCAGGCAGCATTGACTGAAGCTTACTTTGTAGATACAAAAAGCCTTTCCTTCCCTCCCCAGTGGAGGAGGCCTTTGGGGTTCTTTTCATCTAGGATCAGCCAAAAATCGAACACCCTCATCCTTTTTCTCTGTCCTCATGCCAGTGCTTAAGATCAATCAGATAGGATCTGGAGACTGACCAGTTGACAATTGTATTGCAGATTCTCAGTTGCACACAATTAAGAAAGCCATGTGAATGAAAGTTAAAACAAATTCATTTGGCAAATTTATTGAGCACAGCAATGTTCCAAGTACTGAACTATGATCCCAAGATGGCTAAGACAAGGTCCTTGCCTTAAACTCCTTAAAGAGAGGGAGATCACTGTAGACAACTGAAGACCACACAAGTCACAAGAACCTTATCTGAGGTATGCAGGAAGGATGTGGAAGCCTAAAGAGTGGAATGGTTAGTTCATCCTGGGCTGTGGGGGAAGAATTTACCAACACATCTTATATGGACTTCGTGCTGAGTATTGAAAAGTTTGAGGATGAGTACAATTGGCTAGGAAGACACAGGGAAATAGGAAGTGATGGAGAGCATTTCTGAAAGAGGGTATAGCATGTATAAAAGCAGGAAGATGTGAAAAAATGTGGTGTGTTCATGGAACAGAGACAAGGTGAATGCACTAGTAAGAAAGATGTGTGTGAGTCATCGAATGAAGGTAAGGAAGTAAAGGAGATGACATGATCAGAACAGGTTTCTTTTAGAGGAAAGAAATCTATTGCTTTATGTTAAAGGCAGGTAGAGAGGAGCAACAGAACAGTTCTTGTGTACAAAGATGGAGATGCATAGTGTATAGTTACAGGTCAGGGAGGATTCAAGAAGGGAGTCATTAACACCTGAGTGAACTTGAAACCACAGGCTATGAAAAACTTTCCAAGAAAAAAGGCAGATAGAGAAGCAAAGACAACCAAAGAGGAAGTCCTGGAGAACATTAGCATACAAGTTCCCAGTGCCTGCCTCCCTTTCTTATATTTGTTTTCCTTCTCCCCTTTCCTGCTTTTCCTGCACCAAGCTTCTCTCTCTGAGCAGAAAGCCCTCCACCAGGACTCTGCTTCCCCAGGATCTGCCTTGGTCCCATGAACTTTGATGAGTTCTCATTTGCCATGACTAGCCTACACATGGGGCCTTAAGTGCTTGCCTACCAACTAAAAGGTTAGCAGTTCAAATCTACCTAAAGGCACTTAGGAAGAAAGATCTGATGATCTTCTGAAAGGTCAGAGCCTTGAAAACCTTATGGAGCTCATATCTGCTCTGCAACATATGGGGTCACAATAAGTTGCAATCAACTTGACAGCAACCAGTGGTGGTGGTAGTGGTCTAAGGGTATTCAGGCAACTGTTGCCTCCCAAATGGGATTAGGGCTACAGGAAATGAGGGTTCCCTCACTCCTTCAAGAAGGCATCAGAAACATCTGAGAGTTGAGAAGGTTCAGTCATTGAGGCCACCAATGTTCAGCCTGGCCAAGCTGAACAATTTGGGCTAAATGCCTGGCCTTCTGGGACTAGGCAAAGCTCCTACCATTTACAACACCCCCATCAACATCACCTTGGAGAACTATAGTAAGCCCAGTCACTACCAAGCTTTGAAATTTCCCAAGCAGACTTCATACTGAAGAAAACTTAGTGGCTACAATCTCAACCTGGACACATTAAAGCCTAACCCTATATCTAGCACTACAGAGATCAACAGACCCAAGCCAAGGGTGTCCCATTGGAGCAGATTTTCTATATGACTGAGGGGCCCATTCTACTCCCAAAGGGCAAAAATCCAGCAGGTTGGGGTAGTGGCAAGAAGGAGGGTTCAGAGCTTTACTCTAGCTATGTGGTCTGGTATACATCCCTGTCCAACAGCCACCTTCAATTTTCCCATCTGTAAATGGTGGTAAACGCTACCACACAGGATTACTGAAGACCCAGCAAGGAGCCTAGTGTAAGGTGGCTCTTCCATTTAAAGTTGCTAAGCCTGATACAAGGAGCTCTGGTGGTGCAGTGGTTAAAGCACCTGACTGCTAACCAAAAGGTTGGTAGTTCAAACCTACCAGCCTCTCTGTGGGAGAAAGATGAGGCAGACTGCTTCTATAGATTTACAGTGTTGGAAACCTTATGAGGCAGTTCTACTCTGTCCTAGAAGGTCGCTATGAATCAGAATCAACTTAATGGCAGTGGGTTGTTGTTGTTTTTTTTTTTTTTTTTGGTAAGCCTGAAACAATCCGAGGACTTAACGATGGTGCCTTGAACACCTTGGACAACCTTTCTATGCTCAGCCCTTAACTTAGATCTCCCACTCCTATTAGTGCCTGCCTGGGTCCCTGTGTATTTTCCTTAGCTGCTCTGGGACCAAAGCTGTTGTGAATAAATGCTCATTTGCCCAGTTGTAGGAATAAGGGAAGGAGCTCTGGTAGCATAGTGCCTAAGGCACTTGACTGCTAACCAGAAGGCTGGCGGTTCAAACCCACCAGCCACTCCTCGGAAGGAAGGTTGGGCAATCCTACTTCCGTAGTGATACTGCCTCGGAAACCCAAGGAGGGGTCGCTATGAGTCGGGGCCGACTCGACGGCAAACAACAACAACAACAACAACAGGAATAAGGGATGGGAAACAATGGAAGGATCAACATGAGAAGACCTCAAGCATAAGAGGAGACCACTTAAGGAGAATGAGGGGCCACTCCTACTGAGTTCATCTCTGGAGCTACACTTTTATAAAGACTTGCTTGGCCAGTATTGTGGTAGCTAGGTAAATAAGGGAGGCTGGATCCTGGGCCCTGGGACTCACTTCTCTAGCATAAAATTGGACCCCAGAAATGCCCAAGGAACCTTGGCGGCACCGTGGTTAAATGCTCAGCCACTAAACAAAAGGTTGGTCATTTGAACCCACCAGCTGCATGCAGAAGATGTAGCAGTCTGCTTCTGTAAAGATTACAACCTTGGAAAACCCTATGGGGAAGTTCTACTCAATAGGGTTGCCGTGAGTCAGAAAATGGAGTGCTGTTTGTAGGAAATGCCTATGGGCTTTTGACATGTTCTAGCCACTCCCTTATCCCCTTCCAGTTCAGCAGCTCAACAAAGTGAACTTGGCACACTGTGGGTTGTGGCCAGGCCTTTTTATTATTATAGGCATTCGTGTGTTGTGTGTGTGTGTGTGTGTGTGTATAATCCACAAGTCCATCTTCCTACACAGGCAGATTTCTTCACAATCCCTGCTTATGCTATTCCAACCCTCAACAACAACAAAAAAAACCACTAATAATTATATTGAACTTTCCATTTTCCAGGCATTGTTCTAAGTGCTTTATTTGTGATAGTTTATTTAGTCTTCACAATAATGCTATAAAGTAGGTAGTGTTATTTATTGCCACTTCGGAGATAAGGAAACCACAGAGAGGTTAAGTAGCTTCCCTAAGGTCACACAGCTACTAACAGAAGAGGCAGGTCCAAACCCAGGCAGTCTGGTCTCAAAGTGCATGCTTTTTACCCCCAAACTACATAACACCCTGAATTTAGAAAGCCTGAAACCCCCAGAGGGGCAGTCCCACCTGCTAAGTTCCTGCCCCAGCACAGAAGTAGGACAGCCACAGCAGTAAGGGTGGGAGCAGTCCTTAAGGACACTCTGAGGCACAGCTTCAAGGAGCGAACGAGAGCAGAAGAGTCCTAAGAAACAGCTGCACAGACACACTAGCCTGGCATGTCAGCAAAGAGGTGGCCGCCTTCGAGCTGAGCTGCCTCTTACCCTTGCAGTTCACACAGTGGCAAGCTCTGCAAATAGAGGCCAGATCCATGGGACTAAAGAGGAATACTCATATGACCACAGCTTGGAAAGGACACACACACAGAGAACAGTCGTCCACGATGCACCATCTTTAAATAGAAAAGATAGCCCAAAATACATCCTGAGCTGCACGCTCGTGCATATAACACACACACATGGAGCTGAGGCCAGTGGAGTGACTGAGCCAATGCCTTAGCTGTGTTGGTGACAAGGGGAAGAAATCTAGTGCCCTGGCAGCTCCTGACTTTCAGTTCCTATTTAAAATGTCTGAATTGGGAGCATTGACAAGCTCCCAAATTAGCTTTTTAAATAGAAGCTGAGAGTTAAAGGAAAAGCGGCCGTGTCATGGGGGAAAAGCAAGTGAAAATCCCGGCCAGGCCAGGCCAGAGGCAGAGAGGGGGAAGGCAAAGACAGGCAGTGCTGGAGAGATGCACTGGAGGGCTGGGGGCCCATCAGGGAGGGGCAGCCTCTTCCAGATAGCAGACAGTGGCCCCTCCTGATCCCAGAATCAAGGGGCCTCCTTTCTCCCCATCACTTGCTCTCATTTTCCAGGTCATCTTGTGGCTGGTAAACAAAAAACACACTGGCCTAGACTAGAAATCCAAGTCTTCCATATTTCCATCTAGACCTTCTGCCCAAAAGCACGAGAAGTCTCTATTTACTTCATTTAAGCCATGGAATGAGCCTGGGAGGAATGCAGGGCCATTTGAGTCAGTCCTCTCACCCCAAGTAGTGTTAACACCAAACCTGCAAAGCCACAGTTGTCCCATTAGTTGATTCCTCCCGGGGAGGAATAGTGTCCCCAGACTATCCCTGGAATGCTCCAAGATTCAGGGCAGATCCCCACCCCCCTTCCAGCTACCCCCAAGATGCAAAACAAAGGTGGGAGTGTACAGGAGTTCAAACCTGGGCAGAAATAAAACACTGGATTTTAACTCTCCCAAGTTGGAGTTCTGGTAGCGTAGTGCCTAAGGGATTTGACTGCTTACCAGAAGGCTAGTGGTTCAAACCCACCAGCCATGCTGTGGAAGGAAGACTAGGCAAGCTACATCTGTAAAGATTTACCTCCTCAGAAACCCAAAGGGGGATCGCTATGGGTCAGAATCAACTCCATGGCAGTGAGTTTGGTTTTTTGTTTTTTTAAGTTGGACCTGCCCACCCCCAAGTCAGAAACACCTTCTCCCAAGGGTCAAAGGCACAGTTCTAAGGTTGGAGAAAATTAGCTCTTCCCCAAAGGGATGCGAGGAGGGAGGTGGGAGCAGTGCCAGGGCCTTCCCTGAATTCTTCCCCTGTCTGCCAGGGAGTGGCAGTGTTGTTAATCATTATTACTGTATGCAAATCAGTATGTAAATCCCACACAGCCCTGGGACTCCTGGCAAACAGTAACGGAGCCCACGCCCACCTCTTGAAGGGCCAATTGTGCACCATTCAGACTGACATACTGAAGAGGGGCTCTGGGAAGAGGGGTGGGTGACTCAGGGGCTCTGAGCTGCCAGGTGCGCATGGGGACTTAGGACCCCTCATTTTGAGCAGGACTAGGGATTCTAACAAGCCAGAAGCTTGACCTGGGGAGATAAAGAACCTGAACTACAGCTGTGCCTTCAAACGCACTCTCCCCGGCAGCGCACTTAGCTTTTCTCTGGGTCTCGATCTCAGGCACACACACTCCTGGGCACTCAGAACCACAATTATAATCGTTATTATAAGCATTCCGAGCCAAATGCTCTGGTCCCTGCTGAGGCGCGAAGACGCCTCGCCTTCGGAGAGCCAGGCCTAGATCCCGCAATCCTGGGTGCTGAGGCGGAGACACTAGGGAAGCCGGAACCGCAGGTCAGCACAGTCGCACAGACTGCGCCCTCTGTGCACCACAGCCAGGATAGTGGGAGTCTGGGCTGGACACCACTCTCTCCCGGATGTTTCCAGACTTCATCAGGTCCGCTCTGTGGGCACGTGCGGAACTCTCGCTCCAAGTCCTGGGCCAAAACGTGGGGCAGTGGGAATCCATGGGATTCTGGGAGGGACCCAAGGGCTGGGCCGGTTCCAGGATGAAGGGGACCTGCTTGGGTGTGACAGTTCACCCTCTCAAGTCCTGACTCGATTCTGAGTATTTGGTACACGTGGTGGGACAGGAAGGCGAATCCAGACCTTCAGGCCATGGCTTCTCCAGCTCCAGCAGGCGAGTGGGTAAGGGCCATCTGAGTCCGCTCTGGGATCACTCCAGCCCAGACACCCGTTGCTAAGGCGTGAGAGCCTGGAAGCCTGCGCACAAGCCGGCTCCACCTCGCCAGGTAGCCGGGCTCGGTCGCAAGCAGGTGCTGGTGCTACGTGGACAGTCGATGAAAAAGAGACACTAGCTAGGTCTACACAGACCTCACGCGCGCACATGCCGGCGCTGCCTGTCACCTCTTTCCAGCGCTCCCAGTCACCTCTTCCCGGTTTCTCAGCCACACATGCTCCGGAGCTCGTGCTCACGCTGTACTCCTCACTCCGCCCCCACTTCCAAGCCGAGCTCACCTTGCCACGCTCATCCCCATGCCCACCCTCCCCGGCACACGCGCTCACACCCGCGTCGGCACACTCCATCACCTCCAGGCACACCCTAGGATTCCTCCACTCGCCCGGAGAGACGCACCAGGCTCTGCCTTGTCTCCCCGCCCCCCAATCTCCGCTCACGCGCGCGCCCCTCTATACACACACACATACACACACTCACACACACCCTCTCGCGCGCAGTCACTCCCCCTCTCACGCCCTCGCCCTGGGCACCCTCCCGCGGCGAGGCTCCGCGGTCCTCCTTATCTCTCTCTCAGCTGCCTGAGCCTCTGCGCTCTCCGGCCTGGCCTGGGGCCGCTCCGCGGCGTGCATCCGTAGGGAGCCGAGGGCGCAGCCTCGCCGCCTCCCCCGGACTCTCCGCTCCGCCTGCGCCGCGCCCCCTCTGCCTCCCCCCTCGGGAGAAGGACCTCGCTTGGCAGCCGGTGGCCCGCCGGGCTCCGCTCCGCGCGGCGCCGGCAGCGGCGGGGGCTGGGAGCGAGCGAGGAGGGAGCCCGCGAGCCCGCGAGCGAAGCGGCGAGGCGGGGAGGGGACGCGCTGCCGATCCAGAGCTGGAGCGGCGGGGGAGGGAGGGACCCACGGACCGACGGACGCACGAACCGACCGAGCGAGAGAGAAAGCGAGCGAGACTTCGCTGGCGAGGAGGAGTCGCGCGAGCGGTGGCTGCTTGGCGCTTTCCCGCACTGCTGGGCGCTCGGCGCCTCCGCGGCCCCTGGCTACCCGCCGCAGTTTCCTTGTGCGCGCGGGGCGCGGGGCCCGGGGCTTTCTTCGCCGAAGGTAAGAGGGACCCGACCGAGTCTTTTGGAAGCAGGAAGTGCGAGGAGCTCTGCTCCCACGCCTGTTGCTCCAGCTGCCCACGCGGCACCTTCCCACCCCCGCTCCTGGGTGGGTGGGCGCTGGGGAGCCGGAAGGATTGGGGGTGGGGCCTGCGCCTTGAGGGAGCAGACAGCTGGCTCGGGGGTGTCGGTTGTCTTCGGCCTTGTAGCCACCTCCGGGCAGCGAAGCGACGTGAGGTTTGGGGTGGGGGTGTGAACCTGTGCCCTCTTTCCATTGGCCTTCCTTCCCTCGAGGGGTGCCAGAGGCAGCGCCCCGGGATCCGGCGGAAGGTGGCGACGGCTTGCTCGGTTCCCCGCTCTTTGTGAGGGGAGAAGGAGAGAAATGGCTGAGGTTGGAAGCAGGGAACGGTTTGGGGCGCTTCGCAAAGTTCTCCAGCCCGCAAGCCGGCAGTGTGCCTACCAGAGACTAGGGGCCCTCACATCTGGTCCTGCCCGACTCCACTTTCACCCCATGAGCTCTGGGAAAGGTCTCTAAATGATACTGGAGGCCAAAGCGGCCTGAGAGAGGGGGTTCAAAAGCCTCACTTTGTGAGGTGTTTACACTGGAGGTGGGAAACGGAAAGGGCTGGGCATAGAAGTTACCTGGAATCAACTAAATTCCTGCGCTTGCTTAGTGTTGACATTTGAATCAAATCCAAGATGTTCTGCTTTTATCCTGGGCAGCCCTGATTTGTCAGCAACAGGCTGAGGTTTTGGATCTGTTATCTTATAGCAAAGGGAAGGTTCCGTTGCATCTCCTATGAGAGGGCGTCTGAACTTTCTTGTGGTCCTAGGCACGATGTGATTTGTTTGTGAGACCAGGGATGTGTTGCTATATGGTGTGCGTTGGTATTTTGCATGAACGTACCTGATGATTAAATTTATACTGTTTATACAGTTTACCTTTACTTCAAAGGAGCTTGCATGTTTAATATCTATAGAAAGGGCACTGGGCATGTAGGAATTCAATGCAAACCATCTGTACATTTCCCGGTGTGGACATGAGAGCAAATGATGTGTTTGTTTTTCTATATAGGCTACTTGAATGGAACAAAATGCAAGTAAAAAGGGATCCCCAGAGGAAAAAAGATTGGTAGCTTGTTCGCTTTTGCTGGAGAGAGTTCAGAAAAGTGCTCTGGCTAGCCTAGGAGAGGCAACGTGGGAGAAGAGGATCTATGTGTGTGTCTCAGCCTTGTGCCTAAAGATCCTGGGCCTGGTTCACCCTGTCAGTTTCATGTCTGTTTATGCAAATGCTGTGGGCAGGAGAAAGCCCCTGGACCATCCTGGCCCTTCCCTGACCCCATTCTGGGCTAAGAGATATAATGTAAGATTGTGGAAAATAAAAGTTTCTGGAGCCTCTCTACCCCCATCACTTTGCTGAGGTCATTGAAGGGCAATCGCTAATGGTGTGATGCTTTGCTGCCTTGTGTCTATGCTCACATTAGGTGTAGAACCTCAGGACAGGCTGTCTCATCACTCTACCCGCTTTCAACCCTCTACCTCAAGAACGAAAGCTGTTTCGTGGGGCAGCTGACTTTTTCCAGCAAGGGAGGCGGAAAATGTTTTCCTCTCCTAAGGGTTTTTCACCTTTATCGTTTCAGAGCTCACCTGTTTTAAATGTCTCTCCCCCAGCCCCCCCCCCATCGTTCCCACTGTCAAACTCTTCTGCCAAAAACAAAAATAGCTTCAGATTTTTCATTTGTAAGGCGTCCACGTCCTAGTAAAACCTTGGCATTTTAAGCATGTGCAGTGCCATTGGCTGGAAATGGGGCCGCACTGTTGTGCCTGTTGCAGGAATTTATACCCAGGCCGGCTCCAGGAGGTGTTGGTGCCTGTCAGGGGGTGAGCACTGCCATGTGAACCACTGGAGAAGCCCCACTTGAACCGGGTCATGCCTGCAGAGCTGTGTGGAGGGTGTGGTTGGTATGACCTTGGTCATTTTATCCGGTGGGACACTTTCCCTCCCTTTCTTATCCCTAGACTCCAAGCCCTTTTCTCCCCTCCCCATATACACATAGAGTAGCCAGCGGAGCATTTGCTCCTTTTTTCTACCTTTTAGCAGGGACTGAGCCTCTAGAAATAGTCAGGTGCTTGCCTGGCCTTCTTAGGGAAGATTGTCCTGGATTAATGCATGAGGTAATGGTTTGGCCTTGGAACCAGGGTCTTCTATGATTGATAGAGAGGGGCTATTTTTTCCTTCCCCTGAGCTTTCAATTATTTGTATGAAAGCAGCTTGTGAAATACTCATGGCCCTTGGAGAAGAGAAGATTTGTGTGGAGTGGAGAGGGTCAGGTGATGGGGTTGGGTTGGCAGGGGCAGTAGCAAGTATTGAAGCCTGGGAGGCAGAGGAGAATAGCACCAAGAGAATGGAAGGGAAAAGAGTGTGGGTTCTCAGGATCAGAGCTACATGTCTGGCCCAAGCAAGTTTCTACAGAGTGCTTTCTGGCTCAGTGGTCTCTTTCTCTTTGCCACTCGAACCCCCTCAAGATTTAGACTCTCTAAGCTCTAACCTGAAAACAGAGATGTTAAGGGTCAGAGAGGGCAGTTGTAGTTCAGTGGGAGAACTCTCACCTACTGTATGGAAGACCTGGGTTCGATTCCTAGCCAGTGTATCTCAAACACAGCTACCACCATCCCTCAGTGGAGGCTTGTGTATTGCTGTGATGCTGAATAGGTTTCAGCAGAGGTTCCAGGCCATGACAGACTAGTAAGAAAAGTCTGGCAATCTACTTCTAAAAATCAACCAATGAAAACCCTATGACTCTCAGCAGTCCCATCCCATTGTGCATGAGGTCGTCATGAGTCCAGGCCAACTCAACAGCGGCTAACAACAGCAAGGTCAGAAGTCTAGGGTCCAGGAGCCTGGCCCTCTTTATTCTCCAGGAGGGCAGTTAGGTGTTATGTGGGTGCACCAGGCTTCTAATTACTGTGGGTTCTGAGCAATGCAGGTTCTGGGCACCAGCCTCATCAGGAATTGCCAGAACTCACTTGGCTAAGGTGAGGCTCAACCTCACTCTGTACCCACAGCAAGAAGTCTGGATGCTGTCTTTCCACTTTGCATGGGCAACTGTCATGAAGAGAAGATTAGGCTAGGGCTATCGCCTGGATGTCCTAGATCCCAGAAACTCAAGGATAATTGTCAGCTGCTATTATTTTCATTGCCATAGAAAGTGTCGTTCCTATTTCTTGTGGTATCTGAAAGTACTGTTCTCTCATTTTACCGATGAGGACTCTCAGGCTCCAGGAGTGACAGTGACTAGCTTTCAGAAGTTTGGGATAGAACTGAGACTGGAATGCTCCTGACTCCTTGCCCAGTGCTCTTTGCTGTCTGGGGAAGGGTAGGCGGAGTCTCTACATTTTGTTTTCTCCATCAAGAGAATCAGTAGTTGGCTATACTGGATCAGGAAAGCCATTTGACAGTGAGCTGAGCGATTGTCTATTTGAATCATACCAGTTACCAATTGCCATCAAGTCAATTCCGACTCATGGAACCTAGTGTAACAGAGAAGGGTTGTCAAGGCTATGTATGACCTTTCTTCATTAGGCCTTTCTTCCGCACTGCCTC